CGAGTGTGAATCGACCAGCGAAAGACCGGTTGAGTTGGTGGTGGAAGTAAGAAAGAAAGGTTTGATTTGTGACCCCAACTTTTCGTGACGTTGCAGATTCTTCGCCTCGCGAGATGAACTCTCCCACACGGAGATGTATAGACGAACGTGGTCATTCCATCTACTGCGAGTCTGAGGTGCTCGGAAAGTGACACGTATGGGAAGAGAGTGCAGTGTACGTGTTGTCACGTAGGAATTACTAAACACACGGCGCTGAACTGCGAAGGGAAATGGCTGTGGTGTTACATATAGAGGGAACAAAAAGCATGGCTCAAGGGCATATGCTTCCACACAACGACGCAGACGACGTACGTGTCCAAGAAACGGACGATTCATTGTCCGACGTCGGTCGCGACAGGGCAGTCGCCGACCTTCCAGAAGGCGGATCAGCGATCAGGGGCCCAGTGCGGACACGTTGTCCTCACGTGCTGTATAAGCAGGAGGGCCTGGACTCGCATTGAACTCGACCGAGTGCACGTTTGTTAGTACAGGACTGGGGGGAATCAGCCCGGGAGGACACCTCGACTGCCTAATAGCCAGTTCTTGCCCTGTGAAACTATCGTTCATTGTCGCCGACTCTGCGGCACCATCCGCAGCAAGAAGGATTGTATTCATTGTCTGCCCTGTGGATGGGGTCGAAGCAGAATGAGACTAGAAAATCCTCAGGTGAGATATCGGGGCAAACATCGAAGCGCACTGGAGGTTCCACGTGGATGGCTGGGACGCTCGACGACCTACTACGATGACTGCGCATCCAAGAGAAAAGTGTTCTCCCCCGGTTATCGTCTGATATGAGGTGTGTCACTGGCGGCCCAATCATAGGCAACGGAAGCCGTCCTAAATCGATCGGAAGCACGATCTCGCGCGGCCGGTGTCTTTCGATCTGAACTGCTCCCAGCGGCACCTTTGAGAAAATGGTGAGGATTTTACTAAATCGTCAAAACATTTGAAGACGAACGGTTTCCGCTCTCCGTTGGTGTTCAGCTAAGTTGGGCTGACTGAGAACGTCATAGTGTGAAAAGGAGGTTGACACATTTGAACTGGCCCGCCGCCGGCCGTCCCGCGTAGATGTTTCGGAATCTTCATCCTCCGATCTCTCAGTTGCCGGTCGGCTCAAAACATGTGGTGGCGGTAACGATAATATCAAGTCCGGTCCGACAGTTGGGATGAATCCATCAGGAAGGGTGGGATGACTGGATCGCCGGGACCTGGCCCTGCTCGGAGCACGAGTACTCGCTGCTCTCTCAGAAACTGCGTCATTATGACTTGGAAATGCAGTCGGGGTCGCAGGAAGAGGTCGAGATCGTTTGATATCAGGTCTTGACGTCGTTGAACGAGCAGACCTTCTGGAGGGACCCGGTGTGGCTTGAGGCCTGTCTGCTGCTTGTGATTCCAGACGTGAGAGAACCTCGTGATTCCTGGACACCACCGGAACTGGAGGGCGAGAGATTATAGACGATGTCGATCTAAAATTTCGAGTGTGAGCATCGTCGTATTCCAGAGAAGAGACGACAAATACTTGATCGACGCAGGTTGGTTGAAATGCGTAGATGTCAAAGAGGAGCCTTCGACGATTGCTGGAGCGTCCGCCCATCGGCGAGCCTCCTTCAAGCCCTGCCGGTACCCTTCGTCTCTGCCCTCTTCTCTGGCAACCCAGATTGCTCGCTCCGACGCCAACTTCCTTGCAAGTGACTCGTGTTGAGCCGCCTGTTCCTCAGCATCGGCCCTCGCCCTCTCCACCTCGTCCACGATTTTCTGCGCCCGGAAGATCTCTTTCTGTGCAATATCGAGCTGGCACTTGTACATCTCTAATTCTTGTCGCACTGCTGCTAGCTCACGCCTGGACTTGTCCCGATCTTCAACCAGTGTTCGAAGATGCGCCAGTAGATCGGAGCACTGGAGCTCCAGCTCTTTAGCGCGTCTGGCTTCAGACCGTAGACGTTCAGTTGTGACCAGGAGCAGATTGGATATGGAACTACTCGTGCGTGACCGATGGCCATGAGCGCGAGACGAAGGCCGAGGGACATCTTCTTTGTCGCCGATCTTGGATGATTCGCCGGGTTTAGGATAATAAGGATCGGTTGTCTTCGGTCTCAATGGCGATGCGGGACTTGTCAAGCTTGCATATCATGACTCGATTGCGGAGCAGAGGTCCCAAGTTTGAAAGCACTCACTGTTCGTAGAATCGACCCTGGGTGGTCATGGACAGCGTATACGATGAAAGCTTGAACAGGGCTGGAAAGACAAGCGAGCCTCACGAGAAGAGCATTATAAGTTGCCACTGAGTGCGAGGCGAAGGATCATGATCGTTAAGGTTCGGTGAGGCGGTCTCAATTGGTTCGTGTACTGCTCGTGTGATACACGTGGCAGAAAGGGAGAGAGAGATAGAGTGAAAGATCTGTTTGGAAGCAGAGTGCTTTCGATGACACAGAACGGTGAGAACACCTTCGAGACCGACAGTCACAATGTATCGGGGTCCAGAACAACTTGGAGGGGAAGATGAATTGATGGACATCGTGATGGACATCAATTGCTCTTGTAATTTGAAACCTCCGAACTCTGCTGGTATGGCCTGGCCGCACGGCATACGACGTACGCTCTCTGCCCCAAGATCTGAGGCTTGATAGCAAATCTAGATGTCTGGGTTTTCTTTGAAAAGCCTAGAGAACTATGTATGGTCGTCGCGAGACACAGAAGGGATGTGGGAAGTCACTTGATCCAACCTTTTCCAAGTCGGTCCAGTTGGATGTCCTGTGTACTTCGATCCTGTAACCGAATAATGAAAAGGAAAATGCGCCTCCTTGTGCATCCACTCAAACGGGAATCATGCCGCAAAGACTCCGGCGCTAACGACAACTGGTACTTGAGGCGCTAAGCGTCGGTTGGATCATATGTCTGTACATACATATTGGCGCCTTCAATGCGACAGAAAACATTCACTGCGGTTGTTAGGGTCATTGACCTTAGACAGCCTTAGACTCTTTGTCAATGATGACAAGGGCTGGCATAGCCTAGATCCACGTGGCGCGACGTGGCTCCTCTGCAAACTTTCAACAACACAGCCTAGGTCATTCCCGAGCTTGCTTACCTATTTCCAATGCGCATTATATAGCCGGTCTACACGGTCATACATTCCTATTTACCCCCCATGCGCACAACTCCGCTGTGTAAAGCAGCGCTCATACTGCAACTATGCTGGTCCACCGCCTCCCTGGCTGATTCCCTACTCTCTGGCGGCCTACACCGCAGTCCGATCGCGAGGGTGTTGGACGCCCAGCCCATCCGAGATGTAGATTGCAAGAACTCTAACGTGCGTGTCAGTCCCGCTTGATGCGGTCAACGTCGAGGATTGACCTCTCTGCTATACAGCCTACCGGCCCCATCGACACAACGTACTGTGACTTCGAGACGGTAGAAAGCGTGAACGAGCAACTCTTTGACAACCTGCATGAGTTGGTGGCGACGCCGTTCTTCAAGTACTTCCAGGTGCGTGCCAGAGATGGCCGTCCGCCAGCAATGAAGGCACTCACTGACTCGCTGATCCGTAGGCCGACCTATATCGCGAGTGCCCATTCTGGTCCGACGACGGACTATGCAGTGACCCGGGGTGCGCCATCACAACTGTCGACGAGGTGCGCTGGATACACCCTCGAACCGCTGCACTTGCTAACATTCTCCGTAGAGCGAAGTCCCTGAAAGATGGCGCGCGACCTCGCTCAGCCGTCTGACCGGTCGAGTGGATGATGTATGTGCTATCTCAATCCATGTCTATATGGTAATCTCATTTCGTGTGCAGCGACATCAACTCCCAGGTTGCTACTACCGCGATTCAGATTTTTGCTTCCTCGATGATAACACCGAAGGCGAATACTACGACCTCACGCTGATTCCGGAACGCTACACCGGGTATTCTGGTCCCTCAGCTGCTCGGGTATGGAGGTCGATCTATGAAGAGAATTGCTTCGGGCTATCGGAAATGGCTTTACACTCCGGCCCGAATCCGGCCCCAGTGAGCTTGCCTCAGAGCATGTCAGAGGCGTTCGGAGGCGATACCCCGGCACAGTGCCTAGAGAAAAGGGTCTACTACAAAGTCATCTCGGGTGAGTGACTAGGCGGTGGTACACTACGACAAGCGGCTGAACGACTCAGGATTGCATGCGTCGATATCCACCCATATCTGTCAAGAATACCTTAATCAGACGACCGGAGAATGGGTATGTTTCTGCTGCATCTTCTCTCGTTTTTCTCACGCGACCGGCACAGAGTCCCAACCTGCAATGTTTCATCAACCGAATCGGAGCACATCCTGAGCGATTGGAGTACATCTACTTCAACACTGTACTCTTATTGCGTGCTATGGCACGCATAGGACCTTACCTCGAAGCCTTTGACTACTGCTCGACGGGGACGCACGAAGACGACGCCGAGACGCTTACGAAGCTCCGAGCTGTTGTGGGCATCGCACAGCACGCAGGGCAATTCGATGAGACGGTGTTGTTCCGAGGAGAGAATGCCAACGTCAGTGTCTTTCCATCGCTGAGTCGAGATCATGCATTGATTCTTCCGACAGGTTTTGAAAGAGGAATTCAAGTCTCATTTCCGCAATGTGACGCGGATCATGGATTGCATCGGATGCGACAAATGCCGACTCTGGGGCAAGATTCAGACCACAGGAGTTGCCACTGCACTCAAAATCCTGTTCGAGCTCGATGAAAAGACGCTCGATCCTAAAGTGAACAGCAATCTGCTCTCGCGGTCAGAAGTAGTCGCGCTGGTCAACACGTTGCACCGCTTCAGCGAGAGTCTGTCTGCAGTCGAGGGCTTCAGAAAAATGTGGCGGGCGACCAGTGCTGAGGAGAGCGAGAGGCTGATCCTGCAAGCGGAAAAAGATGGAGCATCTCCTACTACCCGAGTGCGTTTGCTCTTTCTTGCGTGGTGTTTATGCAGCTGATTTGCGCCAGCAACGCTCCCCTTCACCATTCGCAGACGGCACCGCACCAGAATTACCGCTGACGCGATGGTTGCGGGTCTGCAAGCGAAGCACGGTCGAATGTGTCGAGATGCTGCTGGACATGTGGAAGAGAGGCGTCAGTGCGCTTGCCGCGGTGTTCGCCACGTCAGGAAAAGACCGCGGACCGGCTGGATTTGAGTTATAGGGCGAAGGACGTATTTATGGCCATAAATGTATAAACATCACATCATAAGACTGCCTAATCCACCTTGCACATACGCCATCGGCTTCATTGGAGGATGCGGCGAGGCATTGAATTGCGTGTATTTCTGATTCCCGCCGAGTCAATCCGGATCTGTGTCAACCAAGACAGTCAGGAACAGTGGATTCGAGAGCGTGGACACCTACAAAAGCGCCTTTGTTACCGCCTTGATCAACATAATTGGGGGCAGAGAACACCTGTGCTGTGTCAACAGGCATCCAGATCAGTAAACAATCCAGTTTACCGTAGTGCACAAGCCATCATGCTCTACCTCATATCCATCTATATGCAAAATTGAGCGCGATGTGTTTCGGAGCTCGAAGCGCGTACCTTGTCGAACTTCGTGGCTGCGTATGATACCAGTCACACCATTCAGCGTGCACCATCGTCGAGTGACATCAGGCCCAAAAGCAATACCGACACCCTGTTCGCACGATTCAGCGTCGAAAAGAGGCGACGAGGGATGAAACAGCTACGCGTTTGCTGGGACCTCGTCCGGGTAGCATCTGCGGATCCGTCCAGAGTAACTGATAGACAGTCTGTCAGCGGACTGCCATCCAAGGTTCAGCTACTCGCGCCTCACCTCGCACATGAGACCTCCTGGCCTGGCTGACGTCCCACGCGGTCTACCTTCCGGATATCCTCTAATGTCACATCATCTTTACTGAACAGGCCACCGTGCACGACGAAATATCGCTTGAAGCCCTGGGGAGAAAGGATGGGGTTGCCAGTTTTGTTTGGTGGGGGTTTGGTTGCAGAGATCAATGTAGACAGCGGCACTGGTCTGCCGTTAGATTCCATGTGTATTCTTGGAAGACGAAGCTTACGGGTCGTGAAAACGTGGGCGAATAGCTACGAGACAAGATTAGGCGGTGTGTCACAGATGGAACTTCCAGAACAGACCTTGTAGCTTTGCTCCCCATGTTTGTGTTTCGCTTCCCCCTCGAATCCGTATGAGCGGTTCATATCTTTAGCCTCGTGGTTTCCGCGATTGATGTAGAAGTATTTCGGATACAACCCTGTTCGTCGCCCTTAGCAGAGTCGGGCGAGGTTGCTGATTGCCCCTTACATTTGAAGGCAAATGCAGTTAGGATGACCTCAATAGACCAAGAACCTCGGTCAACTAGATCTCCGTTCATCAGTAGATAGTGTGTAGCACTAGGTTCGCCAGTCAACGAGAACAAATGAAGCATGTCGTAGAATTGGCCTGAGAGTCGATGAGAGAGAGATAGAAAAAGGTTTGCAGACCACAGGCGCACCGTGTACATCCCCGATAACATCGCAAGTCACCCCATCCGCAAGGTCGACACTGACCAAACTGTCCTCCTTGGCGAAATGGTCGTGTGCACCGAACACGATTTCCCAAACATATCGCTTGGGCAACGCTTTGCCGTCCTTGAACCATTGGATCATCTCCTTGATGAATCCATGTGTGATACCGTATTTCCCCTCCGTCAACGTCAGTTTGGGCCCGGTATAAGATTTGTCCACTTCGCAACCGCCTGGGAATCGTTTGCGAGAGGAGGACTTCGATTGAATTCGAGCACACCTTCCGCAATTATCTCCTGGCATCTCAAAAGCGCATCCTTCTCGCCTTCGACCTCGATAGCCTGTTATCTGGGCCTCAGCATCCCAGCGCATCACAAGCCCGGAGCAACCTACCTTCTCGAATTCAATCCTCCTCACGAGCTTCTGCGTAGCGACCATTTGCGAGCGGACCGTGTCATTCTTGGGCTCCAGAGCTAGCACTTTCCGGAAGTCCGCGACAGCCATCTGGGGTTTCAAGATTTGCAGATAACATGTCGCGCGACTGGTTTGCGGGAAGAGGTGGGTTTCATGTTCGACATAGCATTTGTGTGCACGCACCGGAAGTATGCCTTGGCATATTTCGGGTCGAGCTGGATGGCCTGGCCTGTTTCGCTGCATTGAGCACTCCGATTGCACCCGTAACCTACTGGCAGCACTGATGATGTGCAGCGAAGGTCAACTCACTAGCATCGGTCAGGGCGTATCCAAATTCTTCTAGCTTCATCCGACTATAGGCCCGATTACACCATATTGTCGCGTCGCTGGGATTCTTCTCGATCGCCTCGGAATAGAGTTTCGCAGCGTTGGGGAAATCGTGCGCTGTGTGTCACGGATGGAGAACCGTGAGTCAGTCGGTCTTAGGATGGTGGAGGGGGAACAGCAGGGTCGCACATGTGAAAGCCTTGTTTGCTTGGGTCTTCAAAGCGGCGGCGGCGGCTTTGTCTTCATCTGAGACTTCGATGCTTAGGGCCTGGAGCTGGGGTGAAGGAGCGGATGATGGAGGAGTAGAGGCTGTGAGTGCGGGGGAAGTGGGCTCTGACGAAGTTTCTGACATGGTCGAGACGCGTAGATAATTTTGTGGCAATCAAAGTCAATGGGAAAGAGGTGATCGTTCATTCCCACGGTCAGATCAAGGTATTGAAGTGAGCCTGTATCTGGGACGACGCCTGCAGACTTGCGCGTTGTAGACACTATCGTCCGACTAATTAGTTTAAGTAGCCACAGAGCCCTGTTGCCCTCAGTTGTGAGTTTCGCTGTTGATTCTATCCGTCTGGATGAGGGACAACATCACGATTTATGAGAAAAGTCTGATTCGCAGAGTTGCATGGATACTATTCGTGGTCTCCAGGTATTGATCGCATGGACTGTACGCGATTTCGCAGAATTATATGAAGAGACTGGGAGCAAATGTATCGCGATGATGCAGGACTCAACGAACGGCACTTGTGGAGATGTACACTTTCCGGTAGCGCGAGACGCAACGACGTGGACGGTGAAAACATGCGGTGAATACTGTGGGTAGTCAAGATCATTGCAGGGTAGTGGAGTAAGGTAGGCCCCAGCCTATGGTGGATGAGCCGTAAATAAATCCTGGCCGCGGGCGAGCATCAAGATTCAACAGTGTCAAAAATTGTCAAGATGGATGCGCATGGCTGTGCGCTAGATAACGTTGTGGCGGTGCATTCGCTGCTCTAATGATCGGCCCTCGAGTTTCCTCCTCGACTGACCAACGGTCTTCGCAGGGGGACTCTGATACTAGATATGGTAGAGGGCAAAATGGATTTTCAAACAAAGGCATATTCTGGTCATCGGCTGCCTGCCATGTCTCCTCAGGAGGTTGATCAAACAAGATGCTTACATGCACGCATACCGCGGAAGCAACCGATGCTCAATTTAAATACGGCAAGGTTTCGCCAGAGCATGTGCTTTTTGCGTCAGCTTATCTTGCCGCTACCCAAGTCCAGTGTTTGCGTGTACGAAATTAGCATTGACCTCCCGGTACCGTTCCTGATTCACGCGAGCACATCAAATACCTCACCGTGACCGTTATTACATATCCTGCAAGGGTTGGCTCAACACCACAACAACGCCTTGGAACGACCATGGCACCGCAGTTGTGTGGCGACTCCGGGCCCTTGAGCCTCGCAGACCCATGCGTCCGAGGATCGTGGGCCGCAATAGGCCCTTGCGCGCTGCTGCTTCTCATCGCCCTCGTTCACGTACCCCTTCCGCGCGCACTCCGCCAGGTCGCCGACATCATCAAAACCCCCTTCACCGAATATCTCTCCCTGCATGACGCCGAGGCGCTGCTGCTCGCGGACGAGGCGACGGCTCGAGTTCAAGAGGTGGAAATTGACGAACCTGTTCCGCTGTGGAGGACAGTCGTATTTGCATTCGTTGGGTTGTCGGGAACTTTGGTCTGGCTCGGCACTGGGTCGTATCTGTTGATAACAGGCTACCCACGGTGGCCGGCTATCCAAGCACTGCTCATTGCATCGACCTGGTTGTACGCGACCGTTCGACCCGTTTTGAAACCCTCGGCCACACCTCCATACGACCTCCTGGCGCTATACTCCGCGAACATCATCGGCGGTGTGCTGCAGCTCGGAGGATATCTGTTCCAACATAGTGCGTCTGGCACGCCGTTGCCCGGCGCATTAGTCATGGCCGCGTTGTCGTTCAATGTGATCGCATTGTCGGGCTTGGTTGTGGTTGTCCTGGCTATGCCAATTGGACTGCCATCGAACTTGGTGAAGAAGGGAGACATTGTGCGTTTCCACTATTGTGCCTGTTCAAGAGGTCTCAGTGCTAATCCAAGCCAGGGGGCGTCGGTTTCACCGGAAGATTATACGTCGCTTTGGGGCTGGGTCACCTTCACTTGGGTTTACCCTCTTGTGCGACGAGTGAGATTGAGCATCCACTTTCCGCGTCATTTTCTTAGTCTCTTAGGGCCGGAGCACGACTTTAAATGAAGGGGACATCTGGGAGCTCAGTCCAAACATCCAATCCCGCCCCATCTTCCTCAAGTTTGTCACTCTGCCGTGCGTGCCATCAACACGTTCATTTCACCTTCGTTCAAGCCGTTTTCAGTCAGAAGACATTGTTGGGGAAGCTGTGGAGCGCGAACTCTTTTGATATGAGGTTCATTCCTGATACTACGCTCAGAGCCGTTGCTAAGAATCTCACACAGCATGGATCTTGTTTTAACACTTTCCAGTGTCATGTTCACCTACGCAGGGCCGTTCTTTATGAAGTATGTAGTGTCCGAGAATTTGCTGCCAGAGTCTCACCCTCCATAGGCGGATATTGGATGCCGTCGACACTGATAATGAGACCCAAAAGGACAGGGCTAGTGCCTACATATATGCAGTTCTCATGCTGCTTTGTTCAGTCGGCAAGGTACAGAGCGCACTGCTTTCGCTCATGTTAACTGCTGATTCGCATGCAGGCGCAATGTGATGTTCAGCATCTGTGGCTCGGACGTCGGGCCGCAACGCGAGCTCGATCGGAGCTGATGGCATCGATCTACGACAAAGCTTTGAAACGCAAAGATTTCAGCGGAGTGGTAGATGAAGAAAAGGCGAAGGAGGCAGCCGATAAGAAGAAGGCAGCTGAAGTTGACTCCTCGACATTGACCAAAGCGGAGAAGAAGGCACAGGCAAAGGCGGCAGCGGCAAAGGCGGCCAAAGCGGATGACCCCAAGGCGGTGCCGCTGACACGGGCAAGATCGTGAATCTTATGGCTGGCGATGCGAATCGCGTGGCTAACCAAATCAGCGGGCTGTACATGCTATACGGTGCACCCATGGAAATTATCATTGGGTCGATCTTCTTGTACCAGCTTTTAGGTCTTTCCGCATTCGCTGGCTTCGTCGTGCTCGTGCTAGGCTGGCCCTTGAACAGCTTCTTGACACGACGCAGCATCCGGATCCAGAAAGGCGTGCTGAAAGCAAAGGATGGCCGTATGCAGGTCTTGACAGAACTGATCCAGGCTGTCAAGTTCATCAAGTTCTTTGCCTGGGAGCAGCGTTGGATTGAGCGCGCCATGAAAGCCAGAGAGGGAGAGATCAACTGGATGATCAAAGGTGCGTGCGTTCGGCTGCAACGTTGATGCGCTCTCAGAACCCATGCAGCGCGGCTGAACGGCATCGGCTTCTACTGGTACGGTTATGTGAATGCTCCTGACGCCCTCAGTCTCTCACTTCCTTAGCTTGTGGATTACTGCACCCATCTTCATCTCTGTCATCTCTTTCTTCACGTATGTGATGCTCGGTAACGAGCTCACCATCGGAACAGCCTTCACAGTCCGTCCCCGGTCCACCACATTGTCTTCCTTCAACTGATCAGCGTCGAACAGGCTATTGCTCTCTTCGGCATGATTCGTCAGCCTCTGAACAGCAAGTTTTCTTTCTGTAGACCATTTGAGTACGACTCACCGGTCTCTTCGCAGTCCTTCCAACGTTCATTGTGCAAGTTCTCCAGACTCGAGTGGCTCTCAACCGGATAGCTGTATACCTGGAGGAAGACGAAGTCCCTGAGCAGGTTTCGTCGCTCAAAGGTACCGCACGGAACACCTACAGCGACGATGGGGACAACCGACTTGGATTCGACCATGCCTCTTTCAAGTGGAACGAGGTTGAGGCCAAAGAAACCGATGCCAAGAAGAAGCCTTCCGACACGGATTCGATTGTCACAGCTACAGGCTCGGATAATGGCGTGTCCGATCATAGATTCGAGTTGAGAGACGTCAGTCTGACTTTCCCGGAGGGTCAGTTGACCGTCGTAACTGGTCCGACTGCCAGGTACGATATTGTTTGGATTTTGTACATTCTGTCTGACTTCCCGTATGCTCAGCGGAAAGACAGCGCTGCTCGTGAGTCCTTTGATCGTCTGCATCATCCGATGGTGACCTTTCCCAGCTCGCAGTTTTGGGTGAGATGACCACGCTGGAGGGACGCATCTTAATGTCCAAGAATGCGCACAAAGTCGACGCTTTCGGAAACATGCAGACGATTTCTTATGCTGCGCAGTCGCCCTGGCTCAGACACCAGTCTATCAAGGACAACATTCTCTTCGGATATCCCCTAGACACGGAGCGCTACGAGCAGGTCATCGAAGCCTGTGCTCTCCGGACTGATTTGAACATGCTGGAGGATGGCGATGCCACTGAAATTGGAGAAAAGGGCGTTTCGCTTTCCGGTGGTCAGAAAGCCCGGGTCGCTCTCGCTCGTGCAGTCTATGCCAGAACCCAGTATGTGTTGCTCGACGATCCATTGTCAGCCGTCGACAGGTCAGTTCCATTCTCTGCTTGCAGACCGTGTATGTGTGTTGACTTCCGTATAGCCACACGGCTCAAACGTTGTTCGAAAAGTGTCTGACTGGACCCCTTCTCGCCAACCGCACGGTAGTTTTGGTCACCCATCACGTCGAGTTGGTGTTGCCCGGGGCGCATTATCTTGTCCGCATGCTCGATGGACGAGTTGACACTCATGGGACAGTGAGGGATCTGCGAGCTCAAGGTCTGCTCGATGAGATCGCGCACGAAGCTGCTGTGGAAGTCAAGGCAGAGGAAGTCGCCGTCGCTGCTGAGGTCGTAGTCGCCGAGAACGCGGAGGAAGACAGCAGTGACCCGGCGGTGAAAAAGCCCAGGAAGCTGGTCAAGGACGAGCATCGTGAAGTGGGTGGCGTCAAGTGGAAGATCTACAAGAGCTATCTCAAGGCTTCGTCGTACTCGATCTGGGTTTGCTTGGCCTGCTGTGTGTTACTGCAGCAGCTGTTGAGTGTTGGCGAGAAGGTCCGTGTCTGCATATTCTTCACCTGGGATCCGATATTGACTTGTTGTTTAGTTGTGGATCAAGACGTGGGGCGAAGCATACAAGGAGGCGGGCGCGAACGCGTCCACTGTGTTCGCGATGTATCGTCAATCGTCTGCCTTTGACCACGAAATCCCCATGCACCTTGCTGGATTCACGCCCTTGGATCTGAACGCCAGCACCCGTGGATTCCTGAACATCCAATGGCCCAATGCCGTCGAGCACCCCTTGTTCTATGTCGGCCTGTATGCGGGAATTGGCTTGACCACCGCATTTGTCAGTATCTGCTCGTC